CCAAAACAATAGCAATACTGGGCACTTGCTACACAGCAGGAAATTCCAAGGGCAGCACCTTGTTTGGTCTGTATGACATGACCCTGAGATGAGCACTCCCTAATCCCCACCTCGCAGACGGGTGACTTGCCCCATGTGACGTGGCTGGGGAGTGGCAGGCTGGGCTTCGAGCTCTGAATCCCAGGCTCTTAGTCATCATGTTATATTATCTATCCAGATGCTGTTAAACCAATGGTTGAATAATCCTGGCATTGAGAATGATCTGCTGCAGCTAAAAAGATGTCAAGAGAGAGAGGTCGGGTGACTGATTGGGGAAAGAAAGGGCTAGGCACCAGCTGGATAATTGCGGAAGCTTTGAAAAGCCTGGGGGAGCAATCGCACTGCCCGGGTGTGTCTGCATTTCCTTATGCACAGCTGAAATCACCCCGGGCACAGAAATGTCATCTTCCTGGTGTGCAAGTTGTGTGGGACATGGAGGTTGGTCGGTAAAAACACCTGTCGTAGATGCTTCGCAGGGATCAGGTGATTTCTTCCTGCTCTCCAGGCCACCCTTTTGTCAACCTCAAGATTGGGAAACCGGGGAAATGGGATTAGCCATGAGCAGGTTGCCTGGGTGCTCTGAACTGATGCCAAGGGAATCGGATGTGCTTTTCCAGGTTCCCCAAACGGTGCTATCTCCCAGGACCTAAACACATGCCTGACCCAGGCACAGAGTCCCTTTGCCACGGTGGGTGGGACTCCCAGGAGCCCATTTTCACTTCCCACACTGTCGGCTCTCTCTGTGAACTGGTCAGGAGGAGGCTGTGGGTGCCCTTGGCTGACCTTGGATCTTGCCCCGTGCTCCCCGGACATGCTCTTGGATTCCTCACCTCTGTCCCTCGCATCTCTGCACCACTCCAGCCCTCCATTTATCTCAGAGTCCTGAAGACAGAGTAGGATTCGCACGTGGGCATCTCTTTCACGCTAGAGGGACAGGTCAGGAGGATATTGTGGCATTCCTAGAATAACAACAAGAGCAATGCCCACGGGTACAGCATCTCAGAGTCGACGGCTCTCACGTATTTCTCATTGGGCTAATTGTACTCCTACATCAACAGAGTAGCAAGCGTAAACCCTTCATCCTGCTCATTTGGGCGTAGGACCCGATCAACGTGCATCCATCTGTGTCCTGCTTTACAGCTTGTTGCGTGTCATGTCACCTAAACCTCACCGCCACCTGGGCAGGCTGGTCCCACGCTGGCCACACGCCCTCAGGCTAGCAAGAAGCCCTCCGACACCCAGGAAGGTCAGTCCCATAATCAGCAGTGGCTTCTCGGGAATACCTCTGCCTTTGACTCTGGTCCAGAACTTGTTGACCCTCACCTGGCACGTTTCTGATAAGCTGAGCTAGCCCTCGGTAGTTCACCGTTAATCATTTCTCTCTCGGCCCATGGAGAGAGGCTTCACGGAATGTTTACAGTAACAGCTGGTGCCATTTAATCGTTAATGTTGCTTTCTTTGACAATTTCGCAGGCTTATATCGGATTATATTGGGGAGCTGAGTTATCTAGGAAGCATATGCTCTTTGCTCTTTAGACTGTAACAGACAAGGGAGGAGCCAGGTGAGTTATGCTCACAGACCTGGATTAGCTTTAGGGATGATTTCAAGAGCCTATGAGACTCTCACCAAGCAGCTGGAATAAGAGAATTGAAAAGTGAGGGATTTGAAAATCAATTTGGTGAAGATTAAGAGAGAAAATGCACATGAAGTGCTTAGCATGGTGTTTGATAAATGTTAACATAAAAATGAAATTGATTACGAGTGATTATGGCTAAGGCAATCATTCGGATGGCTACTAATCCAGTAATCTCCTTCTGCCTGCCCCCTTCCTCCCTCCCTCTCCTTCTATTTCTTTTTTTCTTTCTCTCCTCTCTCTCTCAACTCTGCTCTATTTTCCACATTCCTTTTCAATATGTTGTTTCAGAGTTAGCTTTAGCTCCATGTCGAAGTCAGCAGAGACTTCACCCTGAAAATTAAGAATAAAGTCACAGCCAAGTATTAATCAAAAACGTGGGGGGACTTGGAAGTATGTGGCATTTCCCACGGAGAGCTGTCAGCCAGGGGCAGGACCGCACACAAGGCAGCACCTGCAGGCACTTCGAGGGAGGTGGCCTCCCGCTTGCATGAGCCAGCTTTGGGAGAACAGGTTCACCTGCGCCGTCTGCTGACGTTCTGTGGTGTACGAATGTCAGCTGTGCCCTCTCTTCGCCTCCGTCCGTCCGTCCTTCCACCCAACACAGGCTTTTGAGCGACGGTGTGACCTGAAGCTGTCTAGCTCAGATCCACCCTCTGTGACGGGTTGGACGGGTAAAGATACTTCTCCAAGGCTCGCTTACTTTATTTCCAGCATGGCTGGCCATCGCGATCGACACATGGCGCCCGTCAAAGTTTATTATCAGTAGCAGAGGCGGTTTTCTAAATATTTAACCCCAGGTACAGCCAAGGCGGGGTGGGGGGGGCAATCAGATTGCTAGGAGCAGAGTCTTGGGCATCGCTATGTAGGCGTTAACCCTGTAGCTGCTGGGCTGAGGCAGGTGGGCACCCTGGGGGCTGGGACCGGGCTGCTCATCAATGGGTGCAGTGCACTTGGAGCTTTTTTAAGAAGTGGCACAGCCACACTAGTGGGCACCAGTAGAGTGTGAGATCGCATCAGCAGCAATTTCTATATTATTACTGCAGATTGAAAAGACAGGGTTTTAGAACCTCACGCTCAGAGCTTCTATTTATACTATGTTCTATTTATTCATTATTCTATTTAAGCCTTCGAGAATTATTTTGAGGCAGTTGAGGGTTCTCTACTCATAAGCCAAATGGTTCCCCCTCCTTTTTCCTCGTAACCAGTTCTAAGACACCGTCTTAGAACGGTGTCCCACGAGGACCCCGACAAATGATTGCCTTATCTGCGCTCCACAGAGACCATTTGCTGGGAGTCCGGTGATGATGGTGACCATTTAGCATTTATTATGTGCTTCATATACATGGACTCATTTGATCTTCACTAAAGCCCTGTGAGATATGTCCTGTTATTCTTCCTCACTCGACATATAAAGAAACAGAGGTACAGAGAGGTTAAGCACCTTGCCCCAAGTCACACAGCTAGTGAGCTATAGGGCTGGGGTTTGAACTCATGGCCCCATGCCGCCTGGGGTGCACGCTGTCTGCACCTGGCCTTGTGTCGTGCCGGTGGGCAGCTTCCCACCTGGGACATGATGTCTCGGGGACGATGAAGTCATTGTCAGCTCTGTGGTGGTCTCTGTAGGGTGAGGCACAGAGTCTCACCTTCAAGGCTCACCTACTCTGAGTGACTGTTCCCTCTGGAAAAACTGAATCACTTCCTTCTGTGCACGGGGAGGAGGAAAAGCATTCTAGGCTAAGGGGCAGCCAAAGGAACACGAGAATGAGAATGGCCTGAAAAGGGAGGTCCAGTGGGCTGGAGCGTCCCGGGGTGTGTGCTGGGCTGAGATAGGCAGGGTCCCTCAGGGGAGGGCCTCAGATGTCCGCCTCGAGCGCTGCCCACAGAAGCTCACCAACCAACATTCCTGTCGGGCCAGCTCAAATGACTTCTGGATCGCAGAACCCGTCATCCTATCAGAACTAAATATTCTTCCAGAATTGTATTTTTTTATGCTTGCTTGGCTACTTGACACCTTAAGGACTGATTTTAAAGTTTTTTTAAATTTAAAGCGATTTTTTTAAACTTGCTTTTCTAGTTATAGAAGTGGGGTGTGTGTGTGTGTGTGTGTGTGTGTGTGTGTGTGTGTGTGTCAAAAATTGGAAAAGCACAGGAAAACCAACCAGATAGAAATGGACTAAAATACCACGGCCAAGTAGAAACTGCTGTTCCGTTCTGCTACTTCCAGGGAGTCTATTTTCGCTGCACATAAATATGTGATGCGTCCTTTGCTCACCTTGGCAGCCCAGGCTCCTGCTGTCCTTCCGCCTTCCCCATGCCCCGGGAGCACTCTGTATGCTCTTCCCAAATGGGCTCTTCTAGAATGGAAGCTCCATGAGGGCAGGGCAAGGTCTGTCTTGATCTTACCTAGGTATTACAGGCTTAACGAATAATTGTGGAATAAATAACTTAATGTACCAACATCTAAAAAAATCTTAATTTTATATGAAAAAACACACGGGCATAGTTTAAGTCCTCATATAATAGCATGGATTTATTAGTAAGTACATCTGTTTTTAATGCTAATGGATATTCTTTTATAGATCTTTCTCTGTCAAGTAAGATGATGAGCATTTTCCCATGACGTTAAATATTCTTTAACATAGTTTTTAAATGCTACATGAGTTTCCATATATGGATGTACCATAACTTATTTAAACTTTCCTGTCAGATTTTTTTTTCTATTGTGAATACCCATTTGTTAACAATCTCAGGCTAAAATCTTTGTGCATGTTCTTTATTACTGCTTTCTAATAACTTTTTATAGATGGAGTAGTTGGGCCAAAGGGCCCACATATTTTTATGGCTCTGGTAACTTATTTCCAAACTCCAGAAAAGCTGCACATTTTTCTACTTCTGTCCTGCCAGTGATTTTGGTTACAATTTTGGTGACTGGTTCCAATTTGACAGGGAAGATGGGCACTTGGTTTTAATTTACACTGCTTTTATTTTCACGTCTTGGGGACAGAAATTTTGGAGTTTCCAAGATTTTCCCTGCCATAAGAATGACCATCTGAATGAGAATGTTTTGGGGAGGGGCCTGAATTTAATAAGCAACACAGCAAGTGCGGGAAACACAGAAGTCGTCCAGCCCCACCATCCCGCATCCTGCAGATGGAGACATGAGGCTAGAGACGAGCATGGAGATGCGTGGGTCCCCAGGGGAGCTGGGCACCGTTGTCCTCGTGTCCTCACCAGGCAACCCCCCCATTTTGGGGCCACCTTCCCTAATTACCCATCGGGACGGCAAGTATCTAATGACTTCTTCCTTTTTTTTCTCTTTTTCAGGAACAAGGAAACCCAGTCCAAAATTTGAAAAATAAACCATGAAGTGCAGTGAAAAGGACTCAGCAGATTCCAAAGAAAGTGATTTGGCGAGAAAGAAACTGGTCAGTCCTGGTTTCCTTCTCTCTCCCTGTTCTGGTGACGCTGGGGCAGTCCCTCCTGGCCCCTTCGCTGCTCCCGAGATGTAGATGGAGGCGAGGTCAGGTGGAGAAGAGAGAGCAAGGGGGTAGAAGCAACAGTGTGTGGGAAGTTGCCGTGTGAGCGGGAAAGCATGTACCACGAGCCCTAGGCCACTGATCGTATTGTACTGTGGTTGATGATGACTCTGTCATCTGCTGGTGGTCTTCAGGACTGGTGGGAGTGTCTCCACTCCAAAGGTCATTTCGCAACGAGGGGACACTGCTGTGTGAGAGTGAGGATGTCGCTGTCCTTGAGGATATGCTGAAACCCATCCCCTACCCCACCACAAGGCCCAGTCCACCTGCCCCAGAGAGGCCCTCACTCCTCAGGGATCCTTGCACCTTCTTTTAAACCAGACTCAAAAACCAAAGCCAGACAGCACCTGCTCTGTGTGGGGCCTTTTCCCGGGTCTCTCCTTCGGTTCTCTTGGCCATATACCCCAGTGAAGACATCACCACCCTCATTTTGCAGGCGAGGAGCTGCAGCTCAGACAGGGATGAAGCCACTTGTCCAAGGCTACGTAGCTAGTTTGGGGAGGAGTGGTCTCGAACCCTGGTCCCTTTGTGCCTCATCTCCTGTGATAGCAGCAGAAGCAACCAGGACTCAGAAGAAAATATGCCCATGTTTTTAATAAGCCGTATTTAGCCGGACAAAGATCAACACAAGTGTATTTATCAAACCACCAGGGAAGTGTGGAACTGGCAGGCTGAGAGTGATTGTCCCCACCCACAGGTGTGAGACAGAGGTTTAAGGAGGGTCCAGCCACCTCCTCGGGTCATCCAGGGATGTGGCAGAGTCACGTTAAATAAACAGTCATTCCCTCCAAGGACACACTCCTGTGAGGTAGAGTCACAAGGCTCTGCAGTCCAGGCATTTGGTGTCATGAAGGAAGTGGTATGTCATCTCAATCATTCTGCTTAAATGCTACTCAATAAACCGCCCCCCTTTTTTTTTCCTTTCCTGGTAGAAAATTTTCATCTTGTCCAAGCTGACTTTCTAGCTTCAGGACACCATCAGTTTGAGTTCAGTTCCAGAAGTATCTACCTGACCCCTTCCTTGAGTGAGGTGGGAAGAAAACTCTGGGAATCCAAAGAGGCTCAGGACGCTGGATTAGCCTGCTCAGGCCGCCATGACAAAGCATCACAAGCTGGGGGGCTTAAACAACAGAGATCTACTTTCTCATGGTCCTGGAGGCTGGAGTCTGAGATCAAGGATGTCGGCAGGGTTGGTTCCTTCTGAGGCTTCTGTCCTTGGCATGTAGACGGCTGTCCTCTCCCCACGTCCTTACATGGACTTTCTTTTATATGTGTCTGTGTCCCATGCTCTTCTTATAAAGACACCAGTCATATCGGATTGGGGTCTACCCTAGTGACCTCATTTTACCCCACTCTCTTCTTTCAAGACCCCGTCCCCCAATACAGTCACCTTCTGAGGTGCTGGGGGTTAGCACTTCCCCAGATGAATCTGGGGAGGGGGACACAGTTCACTCCATAACAGATACACACAGCCCCGGCCCTTGGTGAGCTCCCGTCCAGAGGGAAAGGCACACATGGGGACAGACACTTGTAAGTAAGGATGGTCACAGCCAGTGCAGTGGTGAGCAGCCTACAGAGCACAGAGGGGCAGAGAGAGGCCCGGCGGGGCTTCAGGGGGAGCTGGTGAGAGAGCGGAGTGCCGACGGATGAGCAGTTATGGGTAGTCAGAGGGCAAGCCTGAGCAAGGGCCAGGAGAACCTGGCGGGAGTAGGTACTCGATAAATAATGGAGGGTGGGTGTGTGCATACGGGTCAGAAGAGGGTGATCGTGGCTCAGGCCCAGCACACCTGGGAACATTTGTCTAATGGCCACATCCTTGATAGAGGTAACTTTCTCAGGGTCTGCGGGAGAGCGCGGCACCACAGGCCAAGCCAATGTGGGAATGGTACCCACTCTCCCAAACTCCACTTCTTCCCTGTCACGTCGGCCTAGCAGCTCCTCGGATGGCTGCTGGAGGACTGGTGACATCATGGATGTGAACACATTTGGCCGAGGGCAAAGCAGTGCAGACGCGGCCCGGGAGGTGCAGGAGGAGGGTGCTCGGGTGATGGGTAGTCCCGGTTACCTGCCGTCTGGTCCAGGCAGGTGCAACGCATCATGTTCACCACCGAGAGACCAAACTTGAGCCCTGGCACAGGCCTTAGCAATTGCCCGGTGACATTAACCTGGCCCCAGACCTCCCCGTTTACCGTGGAGGACACTAATTCCCTAGGGGGGCCCAGATCTTTCTACGCAGAGTACGCAGGATGGTACTTACTTAGAAAAGGGTGAGAGCATTTGGGTCCAGATACAGCACATTATCTGGGGACAAGGTGATTTAAAACATACTAATGAGTATTCATTGTACTCTTGCTGTATGCTGGCTGGTGTTTTAGCTTCCTCGGTTCGACGTGCTTTTCGAGTATAAACTCACAGAATCTTCCACAAGTCTGAGGCAGTGGCCCCGTCACACCCATGTTACAGACCAGGACCCTGTGCCACAGAGAGGCCGAGGGACTTGCACCAGGGCTCACAGGTCCTAAGTGGCTGTGCGGAGGCTCAAACCCAGGCAGTGCGCCACCCACCCGTGTCTGGGTTTTAAGCTGCTAAGCTGTGGCAAGGGGAAGGGACAGCTCGTGTCAACTTCACCAAGGTTTCCCAGAAAGTAGAGCTGTAATTCACCCTGAAAAGCTCAAATTCAAAGGAAGGCAGTGCAGTTAACGTGAAGGCCACTCTCCAAATAGCTGGAGCACCGGCCTGGAACTTGAGCCGGGGCTACTCTCAGGTGCGCGACTTCGGGCAAGGCACTGCTCCCCTCTGGGTTCCTTCGCCTTCGGCAGGCGGGGGAGAGGAGTTATGGGCTGCCAGCTCCACCAATAAGAGGAACTCTTCAGGCCAAGCACCACCTCCAGGCTGTGGGACCCAAAGGAAAAGTGAAGTCTGCGCATGTCCAGTCTTAGGGTCTGGGACAGCGCCTGGTGCAGGGCCGGACCGGGCGCAGGTGGGGGGCGGCTGGTCTCCCTCCATCCCTGGGGTCTGCATCCCCTCCGGCTTCTGGCCTTGGAGCTCAGATTCAGCAGGTGTTGGATCAGGGAGGCTGAGGCAGGAGAGGTGTGCAGGGACAGCTCTGACAGGGGCTCAAGGCCACACTCGGAGCCCGCTGCTGGCTTGTGGACATGCTGTGCTCGCCCGGCAGGGCCTTTAATGCTTGCTGACTCAAGCCTTCACAGCGCGGCGGCGTCCCAGACATAGCACGGGGGCGTCCCCACCCCCACTCCCCACTTCACACCCAAATGTAGTTGCATATTTGTCCTGGGTCCTGGGGCCTACTGAGTTTTCAACCCCAATGGGAAAGCACAGAATGATTTTAAATGGCGGAGGGTGGGGGGGGGATCACCTGCCTCAGTCTGAGTTCTAGTGAGATCAGGTGAGACCCCCCTGTTAGCGATGAGGAAGCCAGGAAGAATACACGGAAGGGCCTGAGCTAAGGAGGGGAGGGGGAGGAGGAGCGGAGGATGAACATAAAGTCCCCATCAGGATGGCATAGTGTGGGTCCCCAAGACCCGGGGAGGCAGCTGTCCAGTCCCCTCCCACACCCCTTCCCATACCTCAGGCCCAGCCTTGCTCAATTATTCTGCTTTCCCACATACCCCAGGGCATCTATGACCATGGGTTTGGGCCCATGTTCTCCCGCCCCACGCACCTTCTCTGCCTGCATATTCCCCCCGAGCTTACTCAGTAAGCTGAGAGAGCTTACTCTCTTTCAGAGAGCCTTCCGTGATCCAGCCCCAGGTTCATTGTCTGTGATCCACTGAGCCTAGTTTGCTTGCTTGCTGGACTTGATACCTCCCTAGCCTTCGTGGGGTTCTGCATTCCCCAAACATACCTTCGCCCACTGGCCTCGGGTACCTGCCTTCTGCCTCTGGGAGCAAAGGGCTGAGGCAGGCTGTCCTAAACCTGTCATGATTAAAGGTACTTCTCTGACATCTGGGGCAAACTGGCCACGTGGTGAATTAATTCTGATGACGTTAAGTATGCATGGAGGGGTCTTGCCTCCTTCATGTGTTCCCTGAGCCAGCCCGGGGTTGGGCAAGGAAGAGGTCTTCCCTGAGCCACCGCTGAGTGAGCAGGACAGAGTAATGACCAAAAGAGGGGCAGATCCTTTTTCTTCCAAACCCAGAGCCTCCCCATTTGTTGGAGAGCTGCAGGGCAGTCATGCCCACGTCCAGCATGCTGCTCGAAGCTATGTGTTTTCTAGTTGAGCCTCAGAATAACTACTGGACGGACAGTCCAGGAGGGATCAGCCTTCCGTTTTGCCCTCGTAAACACCGTAGCTCAGAGAAGCAAAGTGGATTGGCTAAGGACGCAGTTAGAGAGGCAGGGTCGGGACGCCAGCAGGCTTCCCGTGCCACCAATGACGTTCCTTCTGTCCCAATCCGTCGGGAGGCTCCCTGGCTTCATGCCCGGTGCTCCCTCGCTGCACGCGGTTGGGAGGGAAAATCAAAGGTGCCAAAGGAAAAATCCCTGCCCTGGGTGGTGATTCCTGAGAAGGCAAGTTGCCCTTCCAGGACTCCTGGGCTGCTGCTATGACTGGGAACGGGGTGGGGTGGGGGGAGCCCACGGTGCCCATTTCCTGTTCAGACAAGACAGAACTGCCGCATTTCCTGCCGGGCCCCCGCCCCCTCGTGGACTCTGCCTCCTGCTCAGAGATGCCCTGGCACAGCCCGCGGCCGGAGGAGCATGGACTCCCGGGCCTGGGCTCACGCAGGGGCTGCCGAGCGTGGCCGTGCCCGGAGAAGGACACCGGGCAGGAGGACCAGAAAGGTAAACACAGAAACCGGCCTCTGGACCCTGCCATGGGGCTCAGAGGCCCAGCGTGGGCGGCTGCACCTAACTGCCTCCGCGGCCTGGAAGGCCTGGGGCCCTGGGTCAGAGAAGCCTGCCTTGAGTGCAGGCATCCTGGTCCCCGTGACCTTGGCCGTGGAGCTCCCGCTCTGGAGCTGCGGTTTCCTCTGGCAACGTGGCTGTGCTCATGAAATGAGGCCTCGCACGTGCTGGGTGGTGTCCCCTCTTCCTTCCCCACCCCCACAGCTGGTACCCTGTCCCTGGGGCAGGTGATGAGAGGGGGTGGGCTCTGGCTGGCCAAGTGGGGGCAGGGGCTCCAGGGAGAGGCTCCCACCTGCCCTTCTCTGTCCTCTGATGGGTGCAGACAAGGGGACAGTGATCAGGGCTGGAAGCAAGGGGGCCCAGGGACAGAAGGCCGCCAGGGACAGCCCAGGGAGTTGGGAGGAGTGACATCTGAGCCGAGACCCAGAGGATAAGGGACTATGGAGAATGGGCATTTTGTCCAAAGTGCATTTCTGCTCCATCGATGAATCCCATGCAGTTCAGGCCCCTCTTACTGCAGGAAAAGATTCTGGCCCCACATCTGGCCGTGTCCATCCTGGTGGCTTATAAACCCCCTTTCTCACTTCCATCCGATCACTAGCATTTCCTGAATACCTTCTCTGCAGCAGGCTTGGTTCCTGGAAGCAAGACCCCCACCCTCAAAAAGTGAGACCCTTGCCCACAGTCCGGCCCCTGTTGCTAACGCTTGCGGGCACAGTGTTAACTCAGCATAACAGCCCAGTAGGTGGGGTCTGTTATCATCCGCATTTTCTGATAAGAACACTGAGTCACAGAGCAGCTATGTAACTGGTCCAAGGTTACGGTCCTAAGCGGCAGAGCCCGGGGTAGGACAGAGCTGAATCACAGAGAAATGTCAACACGAGGAGATGGAGCTTTCAGAGGAGAGGACACTGGTCATGGGTCTTGGATACACAAGTCTCTAGAAGGGAGAATTCCGGGTGTACGTAGCCGCATGGGCCAGGCCTAGGGAGACCCTGGCACCTGACCTGGGCAACAGCCATTCTGTATGGCTGGGCCAGAGGGAAAGCAGAAAGAGTAAACAGGCTTTCTGAACCCTCCCTGTGTGCACACAACATTCTAAACATCCTCACCCAGCAACACGGCGAGTGCTCAACAACCTGGACAGCCGTGCTGTTCTTAGATCCATTTTCCAGCTGGGCAAGCTGAGACCCAGAAAGGTCAAGAAACTGGCTCCGGTGCCCACAGCTGAGTGGCCGGAACGTCCAGCACTGCATCCCGTGCTAGAAGAGACTACTGAGGTAGGCAGAGCAGGGAATTGGCTATTGGGGTCCTGTTTTCCCTTCCAAACAGTATTTGACCGGCTCAGTCCCCGGAAGTGTGGACCTTGTCTGTTTTGTTTGCTGCTGTACTCCTGGGGCTTTATCAGGGCCTGGCCTGCGAAGCGCACACACGTTACAGGATAGCAGAGAAAGCGGCTTCCAAGAGCACCTGGGTCACCTCCATCCGGAGACTGGCATATTCCCCCCGGCCAGCTTAGGATGGCAACCCCTCCTGTCTCCAGCTCCTGCAGGCTGGTCAGCTTTTGCCCAGGGGCCCAGATGCTTGCGCTCCAGGGCTCTGTCCTGATTGTGACCATCCTTGGATGAGGCCGAAGGACAGGATTCATGGAGGAGGATGCCTCTTTCTCCAGGCTGAGCCCTGTATGTCTCTGCAGGCCCTTGGCCTGAGGGCCTCAAAGTGGCCTGCGGATGGACAGCTGAGTCTGGAACGGCAGGTGCGGCGGTGCGTGCACGTGCATGTGAGCGCGTGTGCACGTGGGCAGCTGTGAGCAGCCTCAAGCCCCGAGACACGTTCCCAGACGGAGAGGCAGCATGGTGCAGCGCGAGACTGCATGGGCCCCAGCCCCCACCCCGGACAGCAGCACGGACACCTCTGTGCCTGTTTCCTCACCTAACAACATCAGGATCAAATAGTACTGATCTAAGGATTCCCGGAGAGAATACCCAAAAAGGGCTCTGGGCAATGCCTGGCCCATACCTCTTGTAAGCCCCAGATGCTGGCCGCTGTGTCTGGCTTTGCTTTTTGCTCCTGTGTGGTTCAGAAAGTGGCCAAATTCAGCTGAAATAATAGCATGTGGCTGCTTACAAAGCACCTGCTAAGGATATTAGGTCTGCCAGTCACTGATTTGTTGCAGCAGTCAGAAGCAAACTGAGCTCCGGGGGCTGACCCAACTCACCCAGGGCGCCTGCCTGCGCAGGTGGACCTGGATGGGCAACTCACCTGCCAGCCGGCTCCAGGAACTTGTCTCCTTGTCCTGGGAATTCTCTGGGGCGGCCTCCCCAGACGAGGGGACAGCCCAGGTTCGTCCTGTGGGCCCCTGGCTCTGTGCCCGACTGCCAGATCTGACGTGCTGTCCTCTCCTTTCCCAGGACTGGTCCTGCTCGCTCATCGTGGCCTCTCTCGTGGGCGCCTTCGGCTCCTCCTTCCTCTACGGGTACAACCTGTCGGTGGTGAATGCCCCCGCTCAGGTGAGTGCCCCGCAGCTGCGGGATGTGCCCGGCAGAGGGCGCTGCGGCCACGTGGAAATCTTCGGGTGCTAGCGCCTGGCCGGGATGGTACCTGATTCTGCAAACCTTTGCAGGCCAATTCTGTACCAGACCTTTGCCAGAGGGTCTAGGAGAGGGATAGAGAGAGTGAGACCAGCCTCCGCCGTCGAGGAGGGGAGATGAGAGACACAGAAACAATGTCACAACGCGGGGCGTTCAGTTCTTGCTGGAGTGTCCTGGGAGAGTGCAGGGCAAGGAGAGGGGTCTTCGGAGGCCTCAGGGGCTTATTCCTGGGCATGGAATCCGAGGAGGCACAGAGAGACCTTATGCATAGACATTTTCCTGATGTTCTTTTTGTGCTTATGGCTTTTAATCACAGCTTGAGGTCACTTGGGTATCTGTTGGTTAAGATCCACCGTTGGCCTTTGTTTTCATTTGGAATCAAGACAGTAGGTATGTCAATCAAGAAGAGGCTGTAAAGCAACCAAAAGTGTTTATTTGAGGTCTTAGGATTTGCAATGTGGGAGGCACAGAGAGGACCGAGATTGAGACTGTGCTCGGAATTGCAACAGGGAGTGCAGGCTTATGAAGGCAAAACCCACAGGGTTGGGTAACTTGTTTTGAAGGAATCGTGATCGGTGCTGACAGTGCTTAACTGACCACCTGATGCAGGATTGGCTCTGTAGCTCACCAGTGTTACATTATCTCCATTTCAGTCGGCAGTAGAGGAGGTGTTCCAAGAGGCCATCAATGTGCAATTGGCAAGTCATAATGGACAAAAGTCAAGAGTTCGTGGTGTTCTCAGAATTGAAACAGGAACCCATAGGGCTGCTTCCTCAGTATCCTCCCCACTCCATTTTGAGTGACTCTCTTAGCAATACTTACTTCCCTTTTGGAATTTCCTTTTGCAGGTGCAGTTCCCCAGGCCCCCCTCACACCTCCCTGCTAGTTTGCAGGTTTGGTTTGGTTCTGCCTACCTAGACTATTAGGTCTGTGTGTTACCCATTCCTGGGGGTGCTGGCTTCTGCTTGACCTACTTCCACCCTTGGGCGTAGGGTGGATGAAGGGTGTGAGGAAAGGCTTCCTGGAGGAGATGATGCCTCAGCTTTGTTTTAAAGGTAGAGCAAAGGCACAGAGGCTTGAGATCTGTGAAATGTTTGCAGGAATGCATGTGTGATGCGGTTGGAGCACAGGATGCCTTTTGGGGAGCCTAGGGCAGGAGCTAAAGGGGCAGGCAGAAGCCAGCCTCCTGGAGGCTTTTTGGGCTTTTCCTTGTTTGGGGCCCAGAATCTCCATGTGCAAAATGCAAGGGAGGCTGGACCATTGGGTCTTAAAGGGTTCCCAGGAGTCCTGGACTTTGCAGAGGTGCCTTTTTAAAATTCAGATGTCCTTCAACAGTCCCACAATGTCTTTTATAGCTAATTTGTCCAAATCAGGACTCAAAAAAATCAGTGCCTATATATGCAACAGAAATACAGAAAAATAATTACAACCCTGAAATCTAGATGTAGATGTTCATTATTCTGTTCCCTTACTTTTCTATGCATTTGAAAAGTTTTATAACATAATGTCCAAACTAATTACATCATTACATCTTTGCCAATGTGTCTATATATGAGAAAGAAAAGGGAAGTTTCCAAATCATGCTACTGAGCCCTGTCCTGTTCAGAATTGTCACCAACTATTTGGACAATAATATAGGAGGGGCATCTGTTGTATTTCTCAGTTGATGAGCTGGAAGGAATAATGACTGCGTTAGGAAATGAAACGTGTTAGAATCAGGTGCCAGGACAGTTCTGATTTTTTTTTTTTTTTTTTACTCTATTAACTCTTGTATATTTGGGGGGTTCTGTGTAAGTTCATTTGAAAACTGGATTCTGATGCTAAGACCATTTTGAAAGCCAGGGGCTGAGATGGCCTCCCCGAACTCTTGCAGTGGCTTTGACTTTGTCATTGTGACATCATCCTGACATGGGGATCTGAGTTGTCCATACTTGTCTTTAAAAGAAGATTGGAAGTTGACACTCTTGCTTTGTCTTGACGGTTCAGCAGAAACTCCAGCAGAGGGTGGAGAACCTTCGCACTCATGGTTTGTAGAGCAAAAGGCCCTGTGAAACTTGAACCCTGAATCCAATGATGTAAGAGGAAAAATACAAGCTCACACCACAACTGTGGGAACAGGAAGAAGGAGGAGAATTCTGTCGTTCATCCATTTAAATCTTGTTTTTAATTAATAAACTTTATTTCTTAGAGCAGTTTTAAGGCAGTTCACAGTAAAATTAAGTGGAAAGTACAGAGAATCCCCCCATATCCCTTGTCCCGCCGGTGCACCACTCACTGTCAACATCCTGCACCACGACTGATTTGTTGTCATCAATGAACCTGCCTCGATTCATCATCTTCACCCAAAGTCCAAGGGTTACATTTAAGGTTCACCCTTGGTGTTGTGTATTGTAGGAGTTTTGACAAATGTAGAGTGACAGGTACCCACCATTGTGGTATCTTACAAAACAGTTTCATTGCCCCAGAAATGCTCTGTTCTCCCTATTCCTTTTTCCCTCCCTACTAACCCCTGGCAACCACTGATCTTTTTACTGTCTTCAGAGGTTAGGTTTTCCAGAATGTCATACAGTTGGAATCAGACAGTATGTGACCTTTTCAGACTGGCTTCTTTCACTCAGTATTATGCACTTAAGCTTCCTTCCTCCATGTCTGTACATGGCTCAAAACCTCATTTGTTTTTTAACGCTGAATAATATTCCATTGTCTGGATGGACCTGTGTCTTGAGCCGCTCATCTGTGGAAGGACTTCCTGATTGCATCTAAGTTTTGACAACTATGAGTCAAGTTGCTATAAACATCCATGTGCAGGTTTTTGTGTGGACAGAAGTTTTCAGTTCACTTGGGTAAATACCAAGGAGCATGATTGCTGAATCATATGGGAAGAGTATGTTTAGTTTTGTAAGAAACTGACAAACCATCTTCCTAAGTGACCACACTGTTTTGCATTCCCAGTAGCAATGAGTGAAGGTTCCCATTGCTTCCCATTCTCACTGGCATTTGGTGTCCTTAGTGCTTTGGATTTGGGACGTTCTAATAGGCGTGTCCTGGTATCTCCTTGTTGTTGTTTTTTTTTTTTTAAAGATTTTATTTATTTATTCATAAGGGACAGAGAGAGAGAGAGAGAGAGGCAGGCTCCCCGCTGAGCAGGGAGCCCGATGTGGGACTCGATCCCAGGACCCTGGGATCATGACCTGAGCCGAAGGCAGAC